GGGGGGGGGGGGGAATGATTAGAGGGAAAAGCTGGGAAAACAGGGAGGCTGACTAACAGAAACCCCACAAACCATATATGTGATGCCTTTATCAATATTAGTGCTTTTAATATTTATATATATAGGTAAATTCAAATAGAATGTATACGTATGTATGCATAGAAGACCTCTTATAAAGTTGACTTAAGGTTCTCAAAATCTCGAGATCAGCTGATTCTAGTTCTAGCTCTAGTTATCCTAGTTATCAAAACATTGTTTACATGATGTTTTTCTTTCAAAATATTAAAAGCACTAATTAAATATATGGTACAGTAGTTGACTTTAATTCTAGTCCATTATAATGTGGCACTAAAAATTAGACTGAAACTGAAACCGTTGTCCTAGTTAAACTGACTATTAATACTAATCGTGCCATAAAAAGTTGTAATACTAGCCTTCAATTTTCAGTTATAAAATGGACTTAAATTGAAATATCATATTTTATATTTATTGTTGTTATCAATTACATATGTCACTGCACTGTTATTAGACATAAATATTGTTCTTATCATTATCATCAGTAGCCAGCATACAAGGGGTTATATATACTTTGTATACACATATTATATCTTTTCGGATTCTACCTTATAATTAGAATTTGGAGTACTTGCTAAGGCTTGTTCTATATCTCCTTGCGATCGAGTACATATACTGCAGTTTGTCGAGAGCTTTGAAATTTTATCTTACTGCCATGTTTATTATTAGACAAGATTAGACCCTATTAAAGAGGGGGAAAAAAAGAATTAAATTCTTGTTTATTTTGCTGTCTAGTACACTAGTGAAATATGAGCTCATTCATTTCAAATCATAACGCAAATTGAATAATAATTCTTTTTGACATCAAATTGCATTCATAGAACCAACTTCTCTAGGCCGTGGGATGGGTGAAAGCTTTGCAAAATGGAAGCAATAAAAAGAGACTCATTATCTTCATCCGTGGAACCCATTTCCATAAAAGTTTGATCACTTTCTAGCTCCGGAATCGGCGGTGGAGATGGAGGCAGAGGCAGTGGTGGAGGAGGAGACAAGGGTCCGACCAATAATGGATAAACAAAATTAGTTCGAGCTTTTTCAATGCCACTAAAAGAGATAGATGAAAAATCATAAGCCAATGCAGCCTCTTCAGCAGTGTCAAATGTGCCCAGCCAATGCCTTTCTTTGGTGTGTGGATTACGAATTTCTGCTGCATACCGTCCCCATTGCCGGCGGCGTACGCCAAGATATCTGGTGGACTGCCTAGATCTCTGCCGCACTGGTTTTATCATCTGAGGAATGCTTTCCATTTTGCTTCTTTTACTCTTCAAGAATTCTTCACTAATATGTAAAAGTTCTGCGAGTGAAATATGATATGTTGGCGTTTTTATAGCACAATGCACGAGCACGATGGTCTTTTTTCAAAAAGTTTGGACAACTTTTTAATGTTAAATTGGACATGATAATACATAAGATAGACAACGAAAATATTTATTTTTAATTTATTAAATTTTATATAATTTAGCATATCAAACATACAGCTATAATATTGTTGTTGCAAAATGACTTCCAGCAAAACGAGGATGCAATGTATATTCTCCAAGACGTGACTTAATATGTCAATTTATTAGACACAACTCGACATAACAAATACAATAATGTCAACAAACTAAATTTTATTTTGAATAAAATTTAGGGTCGACTATATAATTTGTTTTTCTTTATTTTGTTTTATTTGTTGTTAGATTTATTGGAAAATTTATACAATTAGACCCTTTATTTTTTCAAATATAATATAACATATTAAACATTTTATAAGAAGTTTTGGTGTTTAGAAGAATAATAAATTGTGTTGTCCATTCTCTTTCCACTGCAAAACTATCTAATATTTATATATTTAACAATGTGTGACATAATATGTTTGGTGGAAGCATTGTCCATGTTTGTGTAATGGATGTTGGGCATGTGCAATTCATCCTTATTTTCCTCGACATTGACATAGTTAGAGTGAGCAAAATGCCTGAATTTATGCACTTCATTTTGCATTATTAGTTGTTGACTTCAAAATTATATCTCGTTCAACGTGTAAAAGGTTGTTTTGTGAATAGTTTAGTGGACATAGGTATATGATGACAAACAAGAGAAAATGGCTGCAAAATCGGAGTCATATTATCTAAAGAATTTATTTGGAAAAGGATGTGTCTAGTGTGTTAGGTTGCGCTTCCGTAAGTTTGTATAATTAGGGAGTCATTTTCCCCCCCCGGGGCATAGTCTAGTGGTGCAAAGGACAGTAGTGAGATTATCTCACGTCTTGCTGGCAATCGCAGTGTGGGGGGTTCGATTTCTGAAACATGGAATTGGATTCCTTGTAGGCGCAGTGTACAGGCAGCTCTTGTTTCCTGACTTGCTGGAGTATATTCGGCGATTTACCTCCCTCACGAATATCTAGGGGCGAGGTGATGGGGTCCTCAAGGTTGGAGTTCAACCTTTTTATTAGGAGTCATTTTCAATCGTTATGTAAAGTAAGTTAAATGGTATCCTCAAAGTGTAAAAAGAGTTAAATTATGTCTAAATCAATCTGACTTAGGAGTTGCAGGCTAGGAATAATGATCTCCAACATGTTATCATATCCACTACTTTGGACATATTATGCTATTAATCAATGTATAAACTGATAATTAGAGTAATTGGTCACATTTCTTTACCTTTGCACCTAAATTTTCAAATTTGGTTCATTCTCAGTAACACTCCTGTGAATTTGAAAATCCAAGGAGCATGGAGAATTCCATCATAACTCCTGCTCATTTCAATATATATATAGGGTGCTTTAAGATTCTTCGTATCAAACTATGAAATCTACATTCACATTGATACGGAGGAAGGTAAAAATATTTTTGATGATAAAGACCTATTGGAATTGGATTGTGACCTGAAGTTTGGTTGAGTATTTGATTGAAAATAACGTTAGAGGAGTACTTGGAGTTTGTAGTAGACTTAAAGAGGTTTTGAAAGAGTTCAAGATAGACTAGGAGAGGTTTTACATAAGACAGCCGCTCGTTGCACACCAAGGAAAAGCTCAAGCGCTCAGAATGGAGATCATGACGCTCTCTGATAAGTTTATTTTGTACAACTATCTAAGCCATTAAGTTAAGATATTTTGTATTACTTTTGATAAATTATAGCCTAATCTCATGTATTTATTATTTTTTAGGAACAACTCAATGATTTGAAGTGAATTTGGAAGAAGGGAACAAAATATCAATGAAAACGGATGAAATTCAAAGTTTGAGGATCTAAATGCAATTATCTAATAGTTGATTCAGACCTTAAATCGATAATTGGAGATTGTTAGGATTAATTGAATGCAATAAGAAGTCAAAAATGAATGAAATATAGTCAAAGAATCATTACAATTCAATTTCCAATTGCACAAGGCATATTTCAAAATTTCAACTAGAGTTTGAGACCTATTTTTGGAATAGTAAATGTACGAATTGAAAAAAAAATTTATACTTTTGAAAGAATTGTAACCTTTTGAGTTAGCTTTCAAATGTATTTTAAATCACCTCAATCGGATAATGGGGTAGAAAGAAATGAAAAAATATCGAAAACTGTGCAAAGACATAATCATGCGCGCACGAAGACAACATATGTTATTTGATTGAAACTCTTTTGGAAGGCAATTTGGACGTAAATCTTAAACTTATTTCATCATATATGATATAATACAAGACATGGGCAACCATTAAGGGATCTCGCTCTCACTTCTCAAATTACATATATATCATAAAATCATTCAAGAATGGGGGGCAAATTCAACATAAGTTAGAGAGAAGAACATCTCTAACAAGGGATTGAAACAAGAAACATCAAAAACTAGAATAATCAAATCTTAGGGTTGATAATCAAGATCAAGAAATGGAAAGGGACATCTTTTTCTTATATTTATAAATTTTGGACGATATTCTTCCATTCTTCTTTTTATTTTATCATTAGAAACATGTTTAGCTAGATCTCTTTGTTTTGGATGAAGTTGATGTAAGTGTTATGCCCTAAATCCAATCAACCTTGGATATAAATACTTTTAATATATAATTAATACAATTTTATGGCAGATCTATTATTTAATTAATATTCAATTAAATTAAATAATAGAGTCCGTAGATTCAAATCTTGATAATTTGTTAATCACATGGAGTTGTGAGTGTGAGATACAAATTATATATGATTGAATATTAAATTGTAAGTGGTCGTAAGTAATAACGAGATACGGATATCGTTATTACTGATAGACCATTACGTGTGATATTTTTTACTTGTGAAATAAATAGCTGATTTCAAAAGTTAAAGTGTAGTGACACTTAAATGAACACTTGGATGTTTTGTTCTAGAACAAAATATTGGAGACCCGCCGAGAGATTTCACATGGATAACTATCTTAGTGTCAGTGGTTAATTTCTAACGTTCGGTAGTGGGATTGATCCTTTGACATGAGGTCATCATAGTACCTTATATGAGGACAGTCATGCTTTGACGGTGTTGGATGTTGCTCTGCCAAGGACCGTTAATATGGCATCATTCGGGTATTTCAAGAATCGTATGAAGGTTGTGAATGACCAATTGAGAATTCGTCACTCTTAGATAGTAAGAGATTATGATATGCATTTCATTCAATTAAGTCGATAGCAAAATCCTTAACCAAGATGTATTCAAAAGTCGAAAATGAGTTTTCGGCTTATATTGACTTAATAGTGGTATGAAAGATATGATCGATAATCGAGATTGATACAATTTCATATCTCGTAACTGATCGTATCATATTGACGAAGGGATTATAGTCTCACGGTAAACGAATGAGTTTGATTTTGTCATACCACGTGATATTTCCCGTCACATGTGTTGCCCTGATACATTGCTAGATATCAATCTGGGACGACGAGTGTAAATTGGTGATAAATTAAAAGGGTGTTTTAAATTATCAATTTTGATAAGATTAAAATAGTATTTCACGTCGTTAGGTATCGTGATCAGAAACTTGATGGGTCGTACACAAAAGAGAATTGGAAGATTGTATTTTGTCAATTAATTAATTTAACAATCATTAGATAAAATAATTAATTGTGTTGGTTATTTATAGGCTCGAATTAATTAATTTGATTAATTAATTCATGGACTGGATTTAATTAAATGAGTTAATTAAATATTGGATTGGGTCAGGCCAAGCCCATTCGGGCTTATATAAATATGACTAGGGTTTTCAATATCTGTAGAGAATTCGTTATTCTTGCTAGCACAAGAAGAAAACTCTAATCCTACAATCTTGTTTTCTGTGCGGATCATCGTTGAAAATTGGACAATTGGACACCTATGGGTGGCAAATCAAGATCATTGGAACGAAAGAATAGCAAAACAGTTTGTAGATCTCGTAAAAGGTACAATATTTATCACGATTTTCATTTAAACACAAATACAATTCTTGGTGGGAATTGAAAAATTGTTTTATTTTCCCTACGCATGATAAGTAGATTCTCAACGGTTGAACCTTACTATTATTTATTTTTAATTCAAAGATGAGCAAGAGTTTGATCTCCTATGCTTATTGCATTATTTGATTGCTTGATCACCACTTAAATAATTAGTTACTTATTGTAGTGTTAGAAGATTCACAATATGTTTATAATACCATGATTACAATAAATGAGCAATAGATGTTAGGAATAACATAAATGACGTTTGCAATCTTGTTGATAATCATGTGATTGAATGCATGCTATGCATGTGAATTCGAACTAGGAGTAGGTTCGAGTTGTGTTTAGAATTTACTCATCTTGGAAAATAAAGTTAAATAAAATTGGATTATCAATTGACATATAGACACAAATTATTTTAAATTATGTAGGTTGAGAATTGGAATTAAAATAATAATAACCGAATTGAAATTTCAACACATACAACCCATATTTAATTAGAAACAAATATTAATAATTAGTAGATAATTTAGCTATAATCAAATAATCTTTGTTATTATTTACATTCGAATTTGACAATGAGTTGATAAATTTCAATTTAAAATATATTTCTTGTGGGATGACACCTTTAACTCATTTAATATATTAATTGTCAACGACCTTGTATGCTTGTAGGGTTTTGTCCAAATACTAGCTAGGCACTGGGCTACTACTCGAGCTGTGCGAGGTTGTCGCTCAAGCAGTGGTAATACTCTAGACAGGATTCAAATTTCATTTTTTGACAATTTTTTATTCTTATTTTATTCCAAATATTTCATTATTGATTTTATCTATTGCATTAGGATTTCACTATATATT